TAGCATCGTACAATCCAGAGACAATTTCGGGATCTATATCTGAATCAGTGGGACGCATTTTATACGATTTCTTGTTTTTATGTATATGAAAAAGAAACTATAACCGCCACTCCATTGTACCTCCCTCAAGCCCACGAAGCGAAACGCCGCATGATTCAAAGTGGTGTTACATAATTATTGCGGTGTACATGGGAAGCTGCCTTCCTTCCAGCTGAAGATTACTCCAAATTCCACGCAAAAACGAACAACAGCCCGGCCGACAGGCTAATTGCGTTGAGCACCAATTCCATCTCAGGGCTAATCTTCATCCCGGCGGACTGCATTCCGGAGAACGGAGAATACGCGGGGGTACGCCCCCTATAGACGCGGCTCTGGTATGCTGCGGCCGGGGATCCTGTAATATCCGGAGTGAGGAGGTTTACGCTATAAGGTCTTCAAGGCAGTTCACTGACCCTGTCTAATACCCAGGAATCCAAAACCCAGCGCCCTCAGAATGACGACCGGAAGCAGAAGAAGGCCCGGGGCCATGAAAACGAGCGCGGAGGCGATGAGAACGGTTTTCCGATTTGCTCTCGCTGAGCAAGGAGGTCAGTTGATTCCGGTGTGTGATTCATAATCATGGCAACATACTGAGCTCCAATACTTTACCCACATCCGTCCGCAAGAGCCAAGCGGCAATAATTGGGAGTTTCTGGCGATTCCACTTTACAAAAGCCTTGAATGCATGCAGAAGATATGAAGCGGCGATCCCTGCCAGGTGATGCAGGAGATCACTCAGAGTATCGTGGCCCTGAACCCACTCAAAGGCGGACATGGATATGTTCTGTAGCCACTTAAGGGGCGCGTCTTGAAATGTGTCCTTTGCTGAGTGCGGTAGAAGTTAGAGAGAGCACACTCGCTGAAGGGGTGTAAAGCCTACGGCACCGCTGAAACAGAGCGAACGAGGACAGGACGTTACCATTCTCCACTGCTTGCGTGAAAAAATTTGATAATCTTCTGGAGACTGAAAAAGTACGAGTGTGAGATGGACGGCTTTGAATTTTGGAGGCTACTGGAGGTAGTAGCCTCCAGGTATGTACGCTCCGTGAGAAGGCAATAGAGCAGGCGCAACTTACTGCCATCGAACGGAAGTGCCAACAGCACAGGGGGGAGGTGGTCGGGACCGTCGGGCATTGTTGAGGCCTTGAGGGGGTACTGTTCCGGACGCTGACACTAGCTTGTGGGTGCTGGAGGTGAGAAGCGCTCAAGCGCCAACGGAGCGCCAGTAAGGCGGCGATCTGTCACCTGTTTACGACGGCGATTGGTAATCATCAGATACAGCTTCCGGATGAGGGAGTACAGAAATAATCGCAGGAGATGCCTGATGAGACGAGATATTCACCTCGACCGTAAGGCAAGCTAAGATTTGCCACTGTGTGGCGCATAATTTTTTTTTTTGCGGAAGGTTTGCACAAATTGCACCCTCGCACTAAGAATTATTGGACACGTAAAAAACCGATTGACGGAGAAGTTTGGGAGAAGTAAGTAGAGATTTTTTGAATTATGCTTCATTTTTTCTCTGGATTGGGCATCAAAAGCTAAATACTCACGTGATTAGTTGAAATGTAAAATTCAACCAAAATGCAACTTGAAGGGACGTGGCGCTTTAAATTTCGATTTGTCATTTTACAGTTCCGTGATAGGAACAACACAAACGTTGAGAAGCCCCCCTCATGAGCCTGACTCGCAGCGAACAACTTTTTGGAGACGTCGACTAGGACTGGTATGTATGATGATTTCAGAGCACGCAACACACCCATTCGTGAATCAAGAACACAGTCATCTTACGCCGCTGCCTCACCATCCCCCACAAGCCGCAGCACCGCGACACTCTCCACATGCGCCGTCTGCGGAAACAAATCAAAGCCCCTCACGCTCTCCAGCATGTACCTCCCCGTCCCTTCTCCACCCTTCCCAACCTTTCCCCGAACAATCATCCCCACATCCCGCGCCTGCGTATGGACATTACAGCTCACATACACCACCGTCTGACACCCAAACTGCAGCAGCTGTTCAATGAACAGGCCATCGCACCCCTTGCGCGGCGGATCGATCACCAGCACAGTCTGCTGCGGGGGAAAGTCCGCGACGGCACGGAAGATGTCCGCCGCGTCGCCTGCGCGGAAGGAGATCTCCGCGTTTTTGTTCTCCAGGGAGGGCGCGGGCGGGGGGAGTCCGTTGAGCGCGGCATTACGCGTGGCGGCCTTGATGGAGTCGGCGGAGAGCTCGATGCCCGCGACGCGCGTAAACGCAGGGGCCAGCGAGATTGCGAAGAGGCCCGCACCGCAGTACGCGTCGACAAGGTGTGTCGGAGCTTTCCCTTCCGTAGACACGGACGAGGCAAAGATGCGGGACTGCACGTACGCAGTGAGGGAGGGCAGCACGGAGTTGTTGTTCTGGAAGAACGATCCATTGGGGTATTCGAAAAGGAGGGACCCTACGCGCTCGCGGACGTGCCCGCGGTGGTCTGTGATGCAGATGTGCGTTGTTTCCAGGTCGCGGGAAAGGACGTCAACGTCGGTAGCGGGCTCCGCGGTCCGGGTCGGGGTTGTGGTGGGTGTGGGCGGGAGGGAATCACGGAGTATGAGGGAGACGCCGCGTTTATATGTGTATAGATTTCTGAGAAAAAGACCTCAGTAAAGCGAAAGACGTCAATGGTGGCCCCTCAAACTTACTTGATAGCGTTTGCCCGCACTATGGGGAGCGTTTGCCGGATTATAGGTGTCGCGATGGGACAATCCTGAGCACAGATGGTCTTGATGAGCTGAAAAACAGACAGTACCGCGAGCGCGCACCTCGATATCCATGACTTTATGCGTCCCCACACGGTTAAACCCGATATTAAACCACTCAGGCTTGTCGGTGTTGTTTTTGGGATTGCTCGAGTTGCTCCGCTGGACTTTTGTCGGCGCATCGAAGTGCGGCGTGATTTTGGTCCGGTAATCGTATTGTTTCGGCGAGGGCATAGTAGACTCTATCGGTGGAAGCTCAGATTGCGACAGATCTGCGCCGAGAGGGTCAGGCGACAGCGCCGCACAATGAGAGGATCACTCGCCTGAAAAGTTACTGTAAGCTTTAACGACGACGTCCCGCTTGAGATCCAGCTGCTTTTCATAGGATAGCATCTAGACGAACGAGTACACAAAAAATCATTCCAAGCAGCCGAGAATTGAACGGAGTGTACCTGATACTGGCACCCAGCACAGCTCCCGAAATATTTACATTTCACCAGGCTGTCGTCTCGGAGCTCGGGGTTGGGGGTGACGACTTCGATGAGGTCTGCCTGGGAGTGCATGCGCGCGTTCCGGAACACTCGCACCCGTACCGTCTCACCCGGAAGGCAGAACGGCACCACGACGACCCAGGGACGGCTAGCCTCGGAAGATGTGGCCAATGCGCTACCTAGAAATATTCAGCTTGACTGTAGCTCTATCTCCGGGAGAATGACACACCCGTCGAGCATATGGCGACCACCTGCATCTCCAGCTCCTGGTGATACTGGAAAGGCGACTGCTTGTCCGTCCCCTCGGCGACGGCAGAATCAACGTAGTCCGCGCCGAGGACCTCTTTTATTTCGCGCCACAACACGTCGTCGGAAGAACAAGCCTCGGGCAGCGAGTTGTGCTGCTCCCGTCGTTTTTGGCTCTTTGATTTTTTCGGAGGAGGTTTAGCTGAGGTCTTAGAAGCGGAAGACGCCAAAGCAGCGGCCTCGGGCACTTCCGGAGCGTCCAATCGCGGTTTCTTTGCAGCAGGGGCTTCTGAAGGGGGCGAGGGAGCTCTTGCTTTCGGGATGTCCGTCATCCTGAGGGGCTCGCCGGGAATATAGTGGGGTGGGAACGAAGGTAGATTTGTTCTAAGACGGGAATAATTTCTGTGTGGTTGACGCCTGGCTGTGGCAGAGATGAGGTCCAAGCGCGATCGGATTCGGAGCATGCAAAATCCGCTGTGTGGCTGAAGGCCTGGAAGCAAACCTAACCACACAAAGCCATGCTCCTCCAACCAATCACGTCGTTCGGAACTAATTTGTCTTGCTTGCACCTTACCTTCCTTCTTTTTCAGTCTGCTCGACGTGGCTTCATACGCCTTAATTTCTCATAACGGCGTTCATGTACAAATCCCTCCGACCATCGCTCTACAGATTCAGAGTCTCGGCACCAGGAACGGCACACACGCGCAAAAATATAAATGCATCCACAAAACCTTTTCCGCACCTCAGTGATCGCTGCTATCGCCGCCGAGCTTTTCGTACTCAAGGGTCGCCGCTTACCACACCATGTATTCAAAGCGCAATATTGATCAGCCCCGCTGATCGAGAAATCTACATTCTCGAGTCAAAATCGCCTCCCATTCTTATGTAACCTGGACGATGAACTCACTTCGCGCATCTTTTTGCATTTGCCTTCTGGAAGCACCAATTACACCCAATCCATCCACAATGCCCTTGTTACGAAATGTCTGCCACAAGTGACGCGATGAGCAGTGAAGGATCGAACGCGTCTTCTCTTGCGGAAACCACTATTCAAATACTTACAGGAGTTTGTTTAGAGACGCATGATAACTAAGAGAAAGGGTACCAGGAAGATATTTCGCTGGTTCAGGCGGCTTCGAGAATAACAGCAGCGAAGGAATTGAACAAAAAGGTCGTTGCAATGGTTCCTCATATTCGGACGCGGGGGATCGGACAGACCTCCCACTTACACTTTGCACTGTGCCTGTCCAAGTTGAGCGAAGGCCGCAGGGGTACACTGTACACCAGGTCTGATACAGAATACCCATTATGAACTGAGATAGATAGACGAGTTTTGAGAGGTACCAGTGTACGTATGAGTAGAGTCCCCCTAGAGTTGAAGTTGAAGCTGAAAATTGCATTCAGTTGATACTTTGCCTACGAAAGATGAATCATCGGTTGGAAACACATAATTCAGAGGCGTGCTTTGATAAAAACGTTCAGACATCTTCTATTCGGACGCTAGGAATCGAGCTCAGGCCTCCCGCTTTCATTTTTTTCGATGCAACCACACAAACACGAAAAGCGGGTGTGCGCCGTACACCACGTCCGACTCCCTCAGCCTATTTCAAGCGGGGGAGGTACGGTAAACGAGCTTTCATGCCGAGAGTCTAACCCACTGTTTTAGTTTTAATTGGGAAAAGATATCGCGGTTGGTACCCTGTAATAGAAATGGGCTTCGCGCGCTGCCGAAGCGTATGAAAAATATGCTGTCTAGCAGCTAGCGAATAGATTTGGCTCAAGAATCCCTATAAAACAGCTAATGCTCACCGCGAAAACTACCAAACAGCCGAATAGTAAGCGCGAGACTTTACTAGACGTGATCTACGGAATATCTCGTAGGTCTTAGGACTGCGTGCTAAGCATGTACCTGATAATCAAGGCACACACTGTAGCTCAGTGGTAGAGTTCCCAGTAGAAGGCTGGCGCTTCAAGTGATGATGTATTGCAAAGGTAAGGTTAGATTGCCTCCACAAGGGGGGAAGACTCCCTTATATACGTAGAACTATTCTAAATATGGTAAATGACTCAAGTGGAGTCATAGGGCCATGACTCCCCAGCCCGAAGCAAGGCCGAGACTATGCCCGAGGTCATGCCCGAGGCAGCGCACTGCAAAGTGCGACGCGTTGGATGTTGAACATGGCTGTGCTGCAACCGTGAGAGTTCATGGAGGGTAATTGATCGAGAAAGGCCAAAATCCATCACATACCCACGGTGATAACCTAAACGACGTTGCGGTGCTGGCAGATAAACGCCAAGACCCGCGGCGGTAGACGTTTGACGCCAGGCGCCTGGATTCTGAAGGATATACTCACGCTGACACCCTTGGTGACATACATGAATAGACGCCAGGGATAGGTGATCACAGGTCCCGAGACTGGCTGATAATAAGCGTTGAGCGACCATTAATGAGAGCGTGAATGAAAAAGATAAGTATGCGACGGTGCTTTTCAACAAGGGCAATACGTGCTCCCTAACAAGGGCAATCCACCGTGGCCGCAACGTCGTCAGTGGGAAGGCAAACTCGAAGTCGGGCCGAGGGGACGACATTAAACATGCTTTCCTTGGCTGTACTGTACGTACTGACAACATACAAGGTACTTAAATGCCTAGATCGATGGGCATGGGAGAGTGAAAGGTGATACGCAGACACAGATAAGACAGAACAAAGGAAGGAATGGGCTTTATATCCATGTACATCTCCAGCGAGTGAACTGGCGGCATCGAACCGTGAGAATTCGGCTGAATTCGGCTTCTCGGCAAACAAGTATCTCACCCACACCCCGCGCTTCTCGCGCAGATAAGCGCCAAGACCCGCGGCGGTAGACCGTAGACGCCAGGCACCTGGAATCTGGTGGATATAGATCCCGCAATTAGTTGATAACAAGCGCTAAGCGACCCTTAATGAGCGCGTGAACGAAAAAAACATAGTATGCTGCGGTGCTCCCTGTCAATGACAAGGGCGACTCTCCGCGGCCGCAACGTCGTCCGTGGGAAGGCAAACTAGTACTCGAAGTTGGGCCGAGGGGACGACATTGAATATACTTGCCGAACATGCATGCATACTGCTGGAGAGATGATTTCGATGTACATGCAACTGAGAAAAAGATGGTTCCGACGAGTGGTTGCGTCAGTATTCGGACGCTGGGACTGGGATTGGGAGTGTGACTCATCGAGCCAAGGGGTATTTCGTCTAGGTTCTGATACAGTACAGTGTCGATCTAGTCGCTTGGATTTAACGGGTGTGTTGCAACGCGATACTTACAGTGACACCAAGTCCGAGTCCGACTTCGAATTCCTCGATGCGTATGCATTCTTCCGGTGGCAGTGGCGAGGTCCATAGGTAGACAGACGAATTAGCCTGAGAGCGTGGAGACGGAGCGGTGCGTCGATTTCCCGCGAGCTGTGACAGACGACTCGTGCGCTCACAGCTGGGTTCGACATCGAATTCTTAAAACCGCAAATGCTCATGATCACCCAGCGGCAGTTAATACGGGAGCCTGAGATCGGCCCCGGGCAGAAAAAAGAGGACAGCTACAGAAATTCTGAACAGACAGTTTTTTTCAGAATTGAGCTGGCTACCTCCTGCCAATTTACCGCAAAAGATCAGGTTGTCGTAACAGTCAGATTTTCCCGTCATAGGAAAATAACGCACACACCCCGTTTGGACGCTCATCTTCGGACCGCTGCGAAAATTCCAAACTACCAGAAAGTTTCAGCGCAGCCGAAACAGTCGTCGAACCTATTATTTTCAGACACATATTCGGGTAGGCCGAATTCACTAGCTTCTCAGTGGTTACATGAAACTGCTTCTAAAACTCTTGAATCCATCAACACTTTCAGGTCAGTCGAAAATAAAAAACTTGGCATTTCAACCCTTCTGAAAGTATCACATACATAAGTTATTCACTTCATCAACGGATTCAAAGTGTTTGAGTCTGAACCTGTTCACCGCAGGAGTGAATTTTGAAAAATTAACTTACAACTTCAAATTTTTTTCCCCGGTGTGAATGATCGCGTGCGCAGTGAAGTTGGGTCGTCAGAAATCGCTGTCCAAGTGTTGTTTTACACGCAGAAATACAGAGCAAGATAAACAGAGCATGTACAGGATGTTGTAATCCAAAATGTGGTGCGCCGACCACGCTGTGGGGCGATTCAAGAAGAGCAGAGAGCAGCGGCAATTGAAGTGAATATAAGAGACTGCGCCGCCAAGAAAATTCGACCGAGTCTAATGGTGGCAGTCCGCCTGCCCACCCGAGCAGCAGTGCTACATGGACCTCGATACTGCTCCATTCTGATACGCCAGCTCCTCTTCTATCTCCTTGCGCGTCGGCAGCCCGAAGGGGTCGTCACTGTCTTCCTCCGCGAACGTCGCGGTAGCCAAGCGCTGCCGCTGAAATTCGCGCTCCTCGTCCATCTCCTGTTGTGTGGGCAGTTTAAAGTCAGTCGGGCCAACCCCCACAACGCTCCAACCCGTTTCCCCAATCTTGACCCTATAATCCTTTTCGAACTGGCTACGAATCTGCTCTGGGGTGAGTTTCACCAAGTCATGGCACCACATGAAGTGGATGATCCCGAGCATCATGTTCACTGCGGTCGGATCGCCGGACGCCATGGCGCGGCGTCGCGCAACAAGGAAAATTATTTGTGCTGCGGTGAACAGAAAAATGTCGCTTAGATTATTGATAAATCAGAAAACACATTCGCGGCTTACCACCGGGTGGGTGTATTATACGTATTGACCGGGTATGGTTGTTTGAGCGGTTGATATCGAACTGGGGAGGCCTCAGCGCAGTCACACCGGGGATGTTTGACTAACGTGGTAATCCTGAAACTGCGAGTCGGGCTTGCTAAGGGACTTAATTTGGCGCCACAAAGAGGGGGTACGAATGTAGCCATTGATCGGGGCAGGGCAGCCTATGAACTCTAGAGGCTCCCTAAAACCCGACACCGCGACACGGCGGTTAGCTCCCATCAATTGCGCCACAGCCCACACAAAGCCGACACATGCAACTAATTTCTTTCAACTCCGACACATTGCCAAGCTTGTATACCCTTCGTGTGAACTGATGCGATTGATGTGCAGATCACCGAGTATGCCGAGCGTGGTTCAAAGAATCAAAAGGCCTTGACCAGATTTACAGTGCACGAGGAATTGTTCCAATCGCGGGTAGAAGCATCTGGAATAGAACACGTCACTCCTACGGATAGCCGGAATACACCTGGCGCCTTCGAGGCGGGAGCAGGGTGCAGATACGTGAAGAACAATTGGTCAGTTCCAGCCAGCGACCAAAGGTGAAGGCAGACCTGGTGTCCACAGAGTAGTGATTGGCCAAGATAAGTGGGCCCATATAACCATGAACCAACATGTGTTGAAGTGGGCAAGGATTCTCAACTTCAACCGTGCGAAATGGAGAGTGGTGGAGATGGGAGGGGGCGAGTTAGCGAGTTAGGATTGGCTTCAACGTTGCCTGTGTCATATTTCAAAGCCTTTTATTTGCTGTGGTTCCAAAGAGAATGGAGTGAGCTCAACCAGGTTCATAGAGAGTCCGGGGGATAGGAGGAACGAGTTCGAGAGCCGGGGAAGGACCGCAGACGGTAGCCGGCGATTGCATAGATAAATTCAGTGAGGGTGACCTCGATAGTGGCGATGATTACGGTGATAGCAGGTTCTCGAGGCTGAAAGATGACTTGAAAGTGAATTTGAGGCGAGGGATGGTGGCAGCAAGACAGGGTCGCACCCGTGATGATAACTCAATTTTCATGTGCTCTGGCCGTGGAAGTTAACAGTGAGTGAAACTCAACTGGTCCCTTGGAATGACAAGGTCGACTGATTCCGAGGCCCTGACATCAATGGAGATTCGAAAAGTTCCATGCCCAGATGTCTTTACAGGAAACCAGACTGAGAGGTACCCGACCTTTCAGCTGAAACAGTGCCAAAATATTAAATTTAAAAAACTTTTACAACTTTGCCTGGGATGTTGGTTGGGAACTAATGAACATATTCTGTCTGCTCAGAATTGTCTGGAATGCTCTAAGTGAGGCAGGAGAAGTCGCGCAAGGTGCCATCAAAACTGTCAAAATTGCACATTTTGGGTCATCCTCCTCATCGGAGGGATTCAGAGAGTCGAGTAAGGACATATTACGACACAATATGGTGTATAGTACCCTAGAAAAATGCCGACTCACCCTTGGAGTGGAAATAATGATTGATAAATGCATGCTAAGGTCAATATAAATAGCGGGGAAGACACTCGAAGTCCGAGGGGCTTCAACGGGTTTCATCGCGGCAACACAGTTTCTGAAACGTTCAGAAGAGACCGGACCCTCAATAAGAAGTCCGAATCCGATATCCTGTAGTTACCGCAAAAACCTGGCGTGTGGGTCACCGGCTGTCCTGATTGGAACATCAACGTCGTACCCCGGCGCGGGTAGCTATTTAGGTATCCGAAGGGTCTTCCGTGTTCCCAGGAATATTTACAGGGTGGTTGAGTCAGTGGGACCTATGCGGGAGTCGCATCTTGTTCCAAGCTTTTGTCACATGGGCGCGAAGTTTCTCTTGCCCGCGTGGGAGTTCCGGTATTTGTGTGATTCAAGGAAAACAGAAATTGAAGGGTCAATGCCCTCCTAAGAGCCTCCCTGAATTTATCTGGTGTTTTTGCAACAGCCAAACCTACGGGGTGCTCGCTTTTCTGAACTCAGTTCGTGATCGGATGTGACCATGCCCACTGTAACGGTCTGCATACTTGTGCGTGGTCCGGCCGCCAGCAGATCCAGACTTTCTCTCAATACTGTTTCTCTGTGTTAGGGTTTTCAGCCTTAACCGTCCTTTTGTACGGTACAGTACGGTGCTTAATAAGCACTCGATTGTGTATTGATGGGTTACTAATCACCATCTTGTACAAAACACGTAGGAAGTATCTAAGTATCGTACATACAAGGAAGTTTTACCCTTTGTCCAGTACACCAATAACAGTGTTTATACGATCCCCACGGATCGTGCAGACTCACTTTGCGTGCACTTAAAGAAAAAACCTCAAGAACCTCAAGGAGGCGTCCGAACCGGAAGCAACAGCTGTGGGCAAAATCAGCAATTAATCATCCGGGAGACCTGCAAGCGTTCATACCGGGCACATATGGAGTGTCTAGATTGAAAGAGAGCTCCGCAGAATCAAAAAATACGGCCAGTGAGGGATCCCAGTCCAGATTCGACTCATAATTTTCGCCGAAGAGATCCAGACCAGAATAGGGGGTTGAAGACCCAGAGGCGTCGAGATAATCGAATTCGGAGGCGGGAACCGAGTAGTTTGAGGATTGATAATCATCGTATGGGTAACTGTAACCTGAGGATGGCGTGGCGGACCGGGTATCGTCGAATCCGACGGCGGGATAGCCATCAAATGCTGCGTTTTGAATAGACACGTCCGTGCCATCCATGGAGCGTGGGTCAAAGGGTAAAATGCTGGCCGTAATCAGCGGCGATCATAGCTTACTACGCACCTGTCGAGATCGAGAAGGTCCATATCTCCCCGTTGACGGAGCCATGCCAGGAGGTCGTCGAGGTCAACCCATGAGGTGCCGGAAAACAATTGCGCGCTTCTCATCCGGAAGTTGGCGGTGAAGGACTGCGGAACATCAGAATGCATCAAATGGAACATCGACAGACTTACCGCGTCACAGAACTGCTCCAGAACGGTGTCGGGGAGGCGCGCCAACAGCGCCGCGAGGGCCGCCATTGCGCGGCGCGGCGGCGGCGAGAATGTGGGCAGAAGCAGGAAACGTGGGAGCCGCATCAGCAATGACGCGATCCCATGCCAAGCCACGCTAGCCGAGCGTGCGGGTCGTTTCTCAACTTGTGTCGGGTTTGCTAACAGTGTGTCGGGCTTTCTGAACCGTGTGTCGGTTTTGCTGAAGAACCTGTCCCAGGAGGGAAGATGTGTCGGGTTTGCCACTCCACGTGTGGGAATTCCAAGGTGTGTCGGATTTTCTGACATTTGACACCCCGTGTCGCGGTGTCGGGTTTGCTATATACTCGAACTCTACGAGGCGTTCGGGCGTCGGCATGAGGAGTGCTGGGTCGAATCGAGTTACACCACAAAACTTCTTGTGATCCGGCCAGTCTTTTTTCTGGCATTCACTGATGGGACCAGTAAAAGTGGTGCTAGCTTGCGGTCGCGACGACGTACGTTGAGCAGTAGCGAACGAGAAGACACTTCCCGCAGTGTTTCAGCTCATTTCGGTCCTTGCCGCGCTTGCAAGTATAGCACGCATAACCCGCCATAGCGGCTTCTTCTTTGCACTGGGATTGGTCGACGCGCACTGCCATCCGTTTAATTACTGCGCTGAGCCGGCCGACGGACGGTTGATCGTCTGCCAGCACCATTCGCGGAGAGTGGTAACTTATAAGCTTGGCCTTCATCAGAGGTCCAGCTGGAATGTCGTACTACAGCAAACTCAGCAAGCGTGAAGGTATGTATGTGTGATGCACGTACGTATGCGTCCACTATGCCCCGAAGTGTTTCTACAATATAATACGTTCTGAGAAGGGTTGAATAATAACACATGCCGCTGGAGAAGTCGGTGCCCAGGTCGTTAGTGTCGTCACGGATGTATGGATGAGTAAAAAGGAACACCGTCTTCACGCGGCGACTGGCGGTAGGGTCATGCGCAATGAGGCGTTTGAGCTGTAGGATGTGAGCGCAACGTCTGGAGGCAGCCATAGCACGTACCATGGAAATCAGATTGTATTCGCCATCACCCGCGAGGCCGTTGATCGTCATCTCTGGACAGATACTTCGGCTGTTGTCGCGCATCGCAGCACAAGCACCACGATAGAGACCCTCCAATACGATCTCTTCCTTTTTCTTCATGTCGAGTTTGGCCCAATCAACTTCAAAGGTACCATATACCAGTTTATCGAGAGCAAGAGCGATAAGGGACCCCTCCCTATCCATGATTTCTTGGACGGTGAGCGCCAGCTGCTGATTGAGGTCCGCGATATTGTAATCCTCGAACCCCTGAAAATTCCCCGCCGAGTGTGCAGGATCTGACTTCTTCGTTGGTGGACGCGGATGATTAGAACTCCTGGACGCGTAGCTCTCGGCGATCTCGCGCTCAAAGTGGGCGTTCCACGCGACGCGATCTGTGTGCTTATTGGGGCGTTTCTTTTCGTGCTCTTTGTCGAGCCCGAGGCGCTCCGCGAATGACTGTGGACGTGCGGGCATGAAAAGGGTGATGTACTGGAGTGTCGCGGAGGTGGCTGGATGAAAGGGAGCCGACCAAGAAAAGAAGCAACAGTTTGGCTGTGTTAGCAATCATTGGGTATTCATTGCATGTGGGTGTACGTGGGGCATCCGAGGGAATCACTACTATTATTGTGAATCTTGAGAAAGGCTGGGTACGGTGTTTGTTGCGGCCTAAAAGAATCAAAACAGATACGCCCAAAAAGGAAAGAGAAAAAGGAGAGAAGAAAGAAATATTTGTGTGGCTCTAATACCCTCTATAACATATTTCTGGTAAGAAATCTGAACACCTCCGACACACCCAGTCAACATCATCTCCCATTCTTAACCTGGGCGATGTCATTTCAGCGCAAATCTTTTTGAATTGCCTTCCGGAACACGCAATCCATCCACAATGTCTTTGTTGTTACGAAATGTCTACAGCGAGTAGCGCAATGAGCAGCGAAGGATAGAACGTCTCTTCACTTGCAGAAATCAGTATTCAAAGACTTGCGGGGATTTAGAGACGCCTTGATAACGAAGAGAATGGTTACCGGGAAGATATTACGCTGGTTGAGGCGGATTCGCGGGACAAAAGCAGCGAAGGCGTTGAACAAAAAAGGTCGTTGGAATTCTCCCTCCTATTCGGACGCTGGGAATCGGAATGGAAACCCGTCCGATTTAATTTTGCCTTCACGTTCCACGTCCCGCGTCCCGAAAGCGGGCGTGCACCATATATCACGTCCGAGAAGATTTTTCTTGTTCGAACTGGGGCAGGTTGTACATGTAGATTTTTGATGCTGTGCTCAAGTCTGGGATTTAGCTGCAACTTGTCGAAGTGAGCTGAATTCACTTATGGGCGCCACATGCGAAACATGAATCGACATGGACCGGATTGAAGCCAGGCTGCGGGGATGAAAAAAATAATAATCCGGATCCAATGGCATCCGGACGCCGGGGATGCTTCCCTCTTTCATTTGTTATTCCCCCCTCACGAAAATCGGATGTGCACCATACACCATGGCTGATTAATTCGTCTGTTTCGCGCTAGGGAACGTTGGAGAGTTTGGCTGTGGGCCCCACTGAAAATAGTACTTCAGCTCCAATTAAACTGGAGCATGGATTGCCAAGTCGACGTCGTGCCTTGTCCTACTTGAAATAAATGAAGCTAGATTGGATGTAAATCACGCATCCATATTTATACAAAAAACTTGATGGAGAACTTAGTCTATTAGGCTGGGATTCGAACGTCTTTACCCTGTCCTTCACAGCTAATAGCGGACATAAACCACACCACATCCGACTCCTCAACCTATTTAGAGAGAGGTAGACGAGTTTGGACGCGGTGCATAGTTTGGAAACTTGAACTGAGTGGAATTGACGCTGTGCCTTCGAGATGGACATCAACATCGAATACGCGAAGCTCCCACTCGAAAGAAGATTGCAAGCAGAACTCCTGGCGATTCAAACGCCGGGAATCGAACCCAGACCTCCCGCTTTCACGTTTTCCTCTGCATTTCAACCACACGAAAAACGGGTGTGCGCCGTACACCACATCCGATTCCCTCAGCCTATTTAAAATGGGGGCAGGTAGGCGAGCTTTCATTCTGAGAATCGAACCCAGGCTTTGGTTGTAATATTAATTGGGAAAAGATAAGCAGTTGGTACCCACGGTGATAAGCTAAACGCCATCGCCTCTCAGGCTCGTAAGGTAGCGGACAGGCAAATACGGTTACCCCACGTGACGCACCTTTTCGGGCGATTATCTACAATTCAAGTGTTTGCAAAGTGGGAATGGGAAATCCGGCTCAACAGACCTGTGTGAATGTATTCCAAGACCTCTCACAAATATTTCGAGGAGTTTTAGCAAAGAAATGGGGGACTAGTTTCCATATTTATGTCAGCTGGTTGATGTCGGAACTAGTCCTTCATTTCTCATCGAAAACTCATCAAGGTATTTATGAATCCTCCAATGCCACACTTGAACAGAACTGTTGAGGCAGAATTTCAATTTACCTCCGAGGAAAAGAGGTTTTGTGAAAAGACTCTCGAAATTTCCCAAAAAGGTGTGTCACGTGGGGTAACCGTATTTGCCTGTCCGCTACCTTACTCGAGGGTGCCGGCAGACAAACGTCAGGACTATGACCCACAGTGGTAGACGCCAGGCACCTGGACTCTGGAGAATTACCCACGTTGATAAACGCAAGACGGGCAGTGACATATAGACGCCGGACGCCCACCGTCAGGGAAAGATTCCGGAATTGGCTGATAATAAGCGACCATTAATGAGCGTGTGAATGAACAAGATCTCCTACAGTGCTCCCTGACAAGGGCAATCCGCCGCGGCCCCGGCGTCGCCCGTGAGAAGGCGACCTCGAAATCGGGCCGAGAGGACGAGATTAAACAGTTGTCGTACATATGTACATGCATACCCAGTTTGATTATGGCACGCACCTCGGGCGCGTGGAGGTAGTGATGTTCTGACTTGGCCTGGCCGAAAATTTCGTCAGGCCCAAGCCAAAAATGCGTAATACTGCCAAAAAGCCATGGCCTGTTAGCTTTCAGGCCACAGCCAGCCTTGAGCTTGGCTGGGATTTTGGCCTGGCTTCAATTTTTGGAAGCCAAAGCCAAAAACCTCTACAGTCGAGGGTTTCGTAAGACTCTCCATCTCCATCTCTCTTTTCTGGGTGCTGGGGAGATTCGGTCTCGGCGTGGTTTGATTGATAGATGGATGCATGGATGCATGGGGCAAAAGGTGGTGGAGCCTGAGTCCAACTCCGGCTCGTTCTCCGCGATCCTGGAAGAGTCAATTCGTAGGCGATCGATGGACATTGGGGGAGTGGAAGCTGTGGGCTGATCGACAGACAGAACTTGAGATAGGACTGAGGTATGGATTGTAGAAACTTGAAGGGCTATACTCTAGCGATCGAATAACCGTTACCTGCGAATGAACTGGAGTGCGGAACTGGCATCGAACCGTGGGAATTAAGTTGATCTCGGCTCATCGGCTATTCTCGGCGCGAACTAAACGAGTACATAACGCACGTACCTCGGTTGTGACGCTGAAGGCCGAGGGACGGAATGATTTGCGATGTCGGGCGGAAAAAAGGTGAAATCTGGTAGCATTGCTATTCGAACGCTGGGAGTTAAAACGAGGTACTAAATGTTGTTGTAATGTCTGTTTATAAGAGACTAGCTGGGAGTCGAACCCAGACCTCTCCGCATCAAATGAGCGCAACGTAGATTCTATGGGGGTGTGCACCGTGCACTATGTCCGATTCCGCATCCCATTTCCGAACCCTGTCAGGCGGGTAAGTTTGAGGGTGAGATTCCGTCGGTATTCGCGAGTAACGGCCACGTAACGTCCCCTTATGTTCGATTTGTCCTGGGTATTGGAAAAAATAATTGAATGCAAATCAATTTTACATGTAATCGAAAGTGAGAAGGCTGGTAGAATAAATTACTCACCAGAGGCGAATATCGAAGTTGAGGGATGGATTGCGGTGGAAAAAGAGTGCAAATGTCCTCTCTATTCGGACGCTGGGAGGTCGAACCCAGGGCTCTCACATATTAATTCGGCACTGACAAGCTCACAAATGAGCGGGTGTGCACCGTGCACCACATCCGAGTTCCCCTCACATATACGAACCCTAGGTTCAAGGCAAGGATGAAATCAAGCCACTCACTTTGGGTTGAGTAAAGTTCACGTCGGCTGGCTCAAGATCATTCAACCATCCTACATTATACTCACTCAAAGATGGAGGTCAAATAAATTAAATTGCGCACCGAGAAGAACGGAATTGAAGGTTGAGTGATGGACTACGATGTCGAGGTAGAAAAAATGGTATTAATGTCAAGAAACAAATTCGGACGCTAGGAGTCGAACCCAGGGCTCCCACATACTACTTTGTGTGAAGCTTATGCTATCACCGTGCGCGGGTGTGCACCGTGCACCACATCCGAGCTCCCCTCACATATACGAACCCTAGGTTCAAGGCAAGGATGAAATGAAGCCAATCACTTTTGGTTGAGTCAAGTTCACGTCGGCTCGCTCAATCATGCACCAATAGTCAAAGAGCGGATGCCATTGGATAAATAAACTATGCACCGAGAAGAACGGGGTTGAAGGTTTAGGGATGGAGGAAGAGGAGAAACAAAAAAGAAAAAATACTAGTACGGACTATTCGGACGCTAGGAGTCGAACCCAGGGCTCCCACATACTACTTTGTGTCAAGCTTATGCTATCACAGTGCGCGGGTGTGCACCGTGCACCACGTCCGAGTTTCCCTCCTACATATATGAACCCTAGGTTCAAGGAAGGATGAAGCCACTCACTTTCAGTTGAGTCAAGTTCGCTTCTGCTCGCTCAATCATGCACCAATAGTCAAAGAGCGGATGCCATTGGATAAATAAACTATGCACCGAGAAGAACGGGGTTGAAGGTTTAGGGATGGAGGAAGAGGAGAAAGAAAAAAGAAAAAATACTAGTACGGACTATTCGGACGTTGGGAGTCGAACCCAGGGCTCCCACATACTACTTTGGGGGAAAACAAGCTCCAGTTCACAGTGAGCGGGTGTGCACCGTGCACCATGTCCGAGTTCCCCTCACATATACGAACCCTCCTGTACTAGGTTCAAGGCAAGGATGAGATGAACTTTTGGTTGAGTCAAGTTCACGTCGGCTCGCTCAATCATGCACCAATAGTCAAAGAGCGGATGCCATTGGATAAATAAATTACGCACCGAGAAGAACGGGGTGAGCGTTGGATAGAGGCAGAGGAAGACTCCGAAGAGGAACTTGAAAAAAAGTGAGTGTCACAATTCGTTTTATTCAGACGCTGGGAGTCGAACCCAGGCCTCCCGCATGCATTGATTGCGATATATTACTCCCTCCAAAGTGAGCGGGTGTGCACGGTGCACCAAATCCATTCCGCATCCCATTGTCAAACACCGCTGGGACCATCGGCAGGGAGGTGAGATTCCGCCGAACGAGGGAGAAACGCCAGCGAGCTTACCTCTATCCAGCCGTTGCCGTTGAATCCTGCATACTTTCGAGTTGACTCTGATTACATATATCAGACTGAAAAACGGGAGCAAATTTTTTAAGACATAAAAAACCGAAAGATGGGGAAAAAGACTTCAAGATTAGATTGCTATTTAGACGCTGGGAGTCGAACCCAGGCCTCCCGCATGCATTAATCTGTAGCTCCCTCCAAAGTGAGCGGGTGCGCACCGTGCACCGTGCACTACGTCCAAGCCCAAGTCCCCATGATCCCATTTCCCATTTCAACCCCAGGCGACATGCACAGATGAGTGTTCAAGGGATGCAACGAAAGACCATAGGTACCCCGTTGACTCAGGCTAGCTCGGAGAATTATGCGGAGAGCGAGGTGCTAGCGCTAAACGGGAGTGAACCACGCGTTGAAGGAGGGAGCGGCCGCCGCGAGCGAATTCCGACACAGACTCGGACACACCCTCACTCGGACACAAACGCGAAGAAACGAAACAAAATGTATGCGTAGAATTCAAGATACGTATCTATGCACGCACGTATGTATAGTATAGGATACAAGGAGACAAATGTCGGTACATGATGATGGAGAGGTGGCGCCGTGCGGTGGGTGGATGTATGTGGGGGGATGTGTGTGGGGAATTTTAGGTGTATGGGTGGAGTGTAGTATGTGGCGCAATTATAGGGAGGAAGTATGGCGGGTGGGCGGGTGGCGCAAGGGATGGGGATGAAAGATGTGGCGCAAGGAGAGTGGAGAGTAAACGGAGACGCAGGTGGCGATCGCAAGGAAAGAACCAATAGGCGGGCGTACCGCAAACCGCGTGCTCCCCCCGTGCCTCAATACGTATCCCCCCTCTTCGGCGTCCGCCTCCCACTTCCACCCCCTCCGCTCCCTCCCCCGAACCCAAACACGCGCTTGAGCAGCGGCACCTCCCTTGTGGGGCTGCGCACGGGCTGCTGCGGCGGCGCGGGGTACGCGTACGTGTACCCCGGCGGCAGCGGCGGGAGGTTCTGCGCGGAGGGGTACGCCGCGTAGCCGGGCGCGGCGCCGTACGCGTACGAGTTCGAGCGCAGCGGCGGCGGTGGGGCCGGCGCGTAGCTCCGCGAGCGCGAGTGCGAGTGCGATTGCTGGGCGGACGATGGGGGCGGGGCTTGCGAGGAGGAGCGCGAGCGGCGGTGCGGGGGGGCCTGCGGTTGCGGTTGTGGGGGGAGGTAGTAGCCTGCGGGCGGGGCGGGGTAGTAGGGCTTGTTGTTGCCTGGCATCGGGCCGGGGAGCGGCGGGGGGTACGCGGCCTGCGGGCCTTGGACGCCGTAGACGTCGCCGCGCGGGGGGGCGGTGTGCGAGCGGGTCGGGGTCGGTCGCTGCGAGGAGGTCGGGAGCGGCGGGGGCGGGGAGCGGTGCCGCCGTCCGCCTCCGCCGCCGTCCCTGTCTCTATCCGAGGATCGTGTGCGCCTCCGATCTTTCGGGAGCGGGGCAGCGGCCGAGGCGGCGGGGGTAGGCGGGGCGTAGGGATCGACCTGGGGAACTGCGCCAGTGTCGGCTGTCCAGCGGGCGATGCGCTGCTGGGTGCGCAGGTAGCGGGTAACCGCCTCGGGGCTGTAGTCGTATTCCGTCATTCGTCGAGCCCTCGCCTAGTGCAATCCAATCCAATCGAAGATGCTCTGCTTCTTTCTCCTTCCGTGCGCTTGCCTCCTTCGTTCCTGTGTCGATCTCTGAGCGAGTCCAGGGCCAGGTGAGATCGCAAAAAGCAAAAGAATGTGGACGGATGCACGAGCTTTTAGTGAGGAGGAAGAGGAGGAGAGGACGCAGGATGGCGTCCTCCAATGGAAATTTTTTTAAGTGGCGCACCGCCACGTGCCTCGCACGATCCGCGGCATCAAATTACGAGTCCTAAAAATTTCCTATTTTTAGGCTCGTTTTTACATCTATTCCTCACCACTAATTTTCGTCGTTTTCAGCAGATTTTGCTATTACCGGGCCGGCACCGCGGCTTTTTCCTCGGCACTTTTTCCGGTCTAGACCTAGCACAGCCATTTCTTTCCTTTGCTGCTTTCTTTTTTCTCACCACTTTTCGGCACTTTTGCTATTACCGGGCCGGACGTCTCCGCTCGTCCGGTCTAGACCTAGCACAGCCAGGTTTTCTCTGGTGGAATAATATTATCTGTGACTGGCTAGTGGGCCACTTGGCTTTCATTAAGGCAGGACCTACTGAAAAGTTTTGTTTCGGGTTTGGGGATAGAATAGGACCTGCAAGGCTGGTTCATACCGTTTTTCAACCCAAAGTGATGTTCGGATCAAAAGTTATGGCACGTGCACTATCGGCCGAGGGGCTCCGAATGCCGTTTTCTTGCCGTGCTCTTCTCCCCCTCGCTCTTTCTCTGCCAGTTCTTCATCTTTCGGCGACTTTCAAGGCTCATCCGACTTGCACGATGCAGGCCTTCATCCGTGGTAGAGGATGGCGCTGATTTTCCCTACGCACTCTTGCTATAACGCGGATATCGATCCTGAGTGGCTCAGGCTGGCGACGTCCCCGGCATGCGACCCATCCATGCTATGGGTCTGGGATTTGGCAAGGGTTTGTGTAACTGGGAATACTCTAACTGGTGTATCCTGCTACTTTTTCTTCTTTCGAATCTATTTTCACTGCTGTCCTTTATCCCGCACCACCCAAATTCGGTGTCCGAGTGATTTGAATTTTCTTTGGGAGCCAGAGACATCCCGGAATCATCAGAACGGTCCTAGTATGTTGTAATGCTTCCTGTAAAACGATATGTATCTGATTTTGGGGTGCCACAGCTTCTGGTTCTGACGAGGCGCCTGGGCAGTCCGGAATCTGCGATTCCGCCCGTTCCGATGCCGTCTGAGGCACTTTTTTTTTCACCATCTCATCGCTTCTATGCGGCGGTAACTACACAGAATTGTCCCTAGTAGTTCCCTGTATTATTCCTAAACAAAGAGGCCGCCAGTTTAGGCCTGCGGAACTCAATTTGATGAGGCGGCCCTCTAGCTAGTATTTGCATCTGTTGGGGGTACCGGCAGAAAGAAATTCACCGGTCGATCAACACCTCATGCAAATTCGTGAAACTGGTATTAAATCATTCTCAAGATACCTGCCTTCATTCCACAGTACAGTCGAATGTGCAGGGGCAGTATGGCCCTCGAGAACCGGCAATAAATCCTAAGGTGGCCCGGTACCCGGTCATTAATAATAGTGCGGTCCAGGCTCAGCATAGCCACTTTTTCTCCTCGGCCACTTTTTCAGTACCTTTGCTGTTACTGGGCCGGACGTTACCGCTCAGTGTTGGAAGAACCACCTGGCCCAGGCCCAGCACAACCACCTCCTACTTTCCATACTCTTACTGTGACCCTGGTGGAATTGATGGATCAGGTATGTGCCGAGCTGATGGTATCTGTGCGAGGAACTCGAGCCGACCGAAGGTCGGGCGAGAGTTCCGAGCCTGCGGAATCTTACTTAGGTCAAACTTAGGTATAGCTATAATATATAACTTGGTGTGTATGTAGCCTAATTTCAGCAGATTTGGCATCGAGCTCTGAGAATAAAAATCTGAGTGTGATTTACAGTATGAGAGGAAGTAATCGATCTAATCGATGTGAACTTTCTAGTTTGCACATTTTAATTAAACAACTGCACGAATCTGTGCGATTCCGGAAAACATCTGCTTGAATCCGTCCGGATCTGTCGACAACAGACATCCACAAAATCATGAGTGTTTTTGTCAATTTTCAATTGACCGACTCGACAGAATGTCGCGCAACTGACTTAGAGAGTTCTCGCGGTTGAGAACAAGTTGCAGAGCCCGCGTATCGTTGCCAGGTGCACTGACCAGCTCAAACGGGGGAACATTCGGAGTTTCAAATCCTCCTTGCTTCTTACCTAACACCACCATCCCCCGTCTTTCACCCATCGGGCCGCCTTCTCCTCTTCCTCTTCTCTTCTTATCATCTTCCCTGGCCTGTTTCTCCTTTTTTCTTCATCGCAATAGGCTCCCCCTCAAACTCAGGAGTCAGAATTAATAAGGTGGTATGACGACACGACGACATCTGACAAATGACGCGATTAATCGGTCTTCGACGCGTCTTTAGGCTCATGGTGAGCTCCTAGGCTTTGTTCATCCTTTCTATGCACTAACAACTCTCTTTCCAGATGTCTTACACTTTGTGCACGAGACGAGGTGAGTAATTGCTTCTCAACTTCCGATCCCGCAGATATAATTGTGTCGCGATACTCAGATGGCAATTGTCTGGCGTCCTCTTTACCTTAATTTCCTGTTTGCGCATTCCCCGAAGGCAGTAGATTGGGTATTCGCCCCCTCCCCTCCACCTTCATTTAATGATTGTACGGCAGTGTTTCCGATGCAGAGAGCTTGGCGGCCATCGCCGCCACCGTACGTGAGTGGGTGTCACCCCGTGAAGGAACTGTTTTAATGTATAGCCCTCGTCGCCTTTTTCGACTCGCTTTAAGACTGTCAGAATCGAAGTTCATACATACTGCCCACGACAAATGATAGTATAAGTGCGCATTTCCAGCCGAATCTTTGGTTTTCCTTCTCGACAGCCACCACCGCCGTTAACCACAAGCAATTGTTGCCTAGTATACATGAGCTACACTGACATTAACCCTTTTCAGCCGTGTGCACCGCGCCAATCACGCGATGCAGCGCGTTGAAAACACCAGTAAGTTATTACTTGAATTGAAGGCACATATATTCACTTGCTATGAAGCAGACTAGGTGTCTATTTTTTTTTTTTTTGATTTGCACGACTTGCGTCTCGACTCTCGATGCATTGGTCTGTCGCCCTTTTGCACATGGGGCGCCGGGCTGCTTGTTGGGACACGGATGGGGCGCTGTGACCTCCGGCATAGTGTGTGAAGGTACAACATGTTGTCGTAGTAGCTGAATAATATGGATTGAACAATTAAATTGAAGAGAGCAACGAGGGATATGACGAGGCAGATCTGATCAGCTGTCACCACATCTGAGCATTACTGAGCAGACTTGAGCATTATGTTCATCATTTGCTCATCTGCTATAGGGCCAAATTTTTGTGCAGGTCTGCTCATCTCTGTTGCACTTTGGGTGGACAGATCTGAGCAGATCTGTGAGTATCCCAGCAGAAGGGATTGTCACTGGGCCTTAGCACTGCTCCAAACAAATGTAGAACTCGGACAAACAATAATTTATCGCTCATTTCTCTACCGATTTCGAAGATCTTTGTTTTAGAGCACTCACTGGGATGTCTTTCGTACCTTACAAGCGTTTCTGGGAGTACCCTTGATGTTGACCTCATTCGACTTGTTGATCAGGCTGATGCCTAAAAAATGTCAAGCTTTTACCCATTTTCCCGCCACCTTAACCATCAGAGGGTTGGATTGCCCCAAAAATGTACTTAGGAGATGGGTATACATCATAAAAGTGTCCCTGAAAAATTTCGAGCCGGTAGGTAGCTTGTAGCTTCTTCGGTTTACCTACAAGATACCACTCCCGCCACCAAAATCAAAGAGTTTGATAGCCAGAAAGAAATTTGTGGTGTTCAACATACAAGGGTCACCCAAGGCTAATCCAAGTTACAAGAGGTATACTGGATGCAAGAGGGCCTGTCCATGAGTTTTTGAGGTACTTCAACCAATGTGAGCCTGGTGTGAGGTTGGCAATCAGAATGTTACATTTTATGTGGAAGCCGGACACCGGAAAGAACAACGCTGTTTGAGGACCAGTAATAGTGGACCGTTTTTCGCAAAGGAAAATCTCGAAATCAAAGAAAAGACGGATTGGAATCTGATGGTGTGCTCAGATTTTGCCCAGGCCTCATAGTCAAAAAGATATTCAACATTGATTCAACAGGTTTCCTCTCGGGATGGTCCGGAGTCCCTGTATGCCTCCAACCAACCTTTCTGAAACAAAACTCGTCTCAACACGGGTCACAGAAGGATAAACGTGACCTGGACAGGACTCGTATTGCCATGCGCAGCAATGGCCTTAAAACCCACGTGAAAGTTATGTAATGCTTCCCGCTTGCCTTGAGAGTTCCTTATTTAGGTGCATCAACGCCCTGGGCACTGCGTTCATCTCGTTCCAGGTGCATCATCGAAGCCACACTGAGAGGTCCTCCTGGGTGATAGGTAGCTCCCTTCGTTGCGGGTGCGGTAGAGCCGGAGACGGAGATATCGTGTACGTACCCCGGCCCTTGACGTGCTTGCTCGCTTCTGGATCCGACCCGTCCCTGGGCTTTTCCACTCCCAAAGTTCCATCCCCACCCGAATAAAATGAACAGCGACTTACCACACCGCACCCACACTGCCGCCACGTAACCCCACGCCTCGCCCTGCGCACCCCATTGCCACGCGCCCATGGCCACAATCGCCTCATCGGATCCCACTAGCCCTATCCGTCAATCATGCAGCGACCTCAAACTGCGGACGCCAATCTAACGCAATCGTATCATATCATATCACTGCTCCCGGCCGCGGCGCGCGAAAGCCACGTTTATCCCTGCCTCTTGCCTCCTGTCTCCTGCATCCTGCTTCCAGTTATTCCGCGCGGAGTCCACCTCATCTCAGTCAGCGACGGCGAATCATCCCTATCACGCACCGCACACACTAGGACCCACCAAATCACACATCGCCTCCTGCCGTCCAGTGTCCATCCGTCCATCCAATCCGCGCGGAATCGCCGCCTCTCCTACTACCATCCATCGAGATGGGTACGCAGATCCTTACGAAACGTACATACGTGTATCTCGGTGTGGGTATATATGTTTTAATTTCCGGGTCGCATACTACGCGTACTTGGGCCCCAGCCCCAACGCCAATTCGCACATCGCCTTCCGCCTTCCGCCGTCTCCATCCAATCCAATCCGCGCGGAATCGCCTCCGAGTCTCCCTTCTCCCTTCTCTACCATCCAGGGGAGATTGGTATGCAGACACGGCGAACTGATCGTGTGCCAGTGCGCTTACTCAGACTGTATGTTTTAATTTCCGACTCCCATTCGCATCGCGTACTTCCGAGTCGGCCCGTCTTATCCGGCTTCCACGCCAGTGCGTCATGCATCTTCTGTAGATCTTTCATTCATTCATTTCGAGTCATAAGTCATCCTACTTATATGGTGTATACCTGAATTCATTCATTTGCATTTTAGACATGGGTGATACCAGCTTGGCACTCAGGCTAGCCTAGACAAGGCAATGGCGGAAAACTCTAAATCTGCCACATCAGTTATTCCTGGATGTTGGCGGTGGGCACCCTGCGTCGCCATCGTGAGTACGGACGATAGTGTGTACGAGCGTTTATCACCCTAACGTTGCATGCTGGCGTCTACAGACTATCATCACCGTCAGTCCATCTTCATATCCTTTAGAAAGTGAGTCCAGAGTCGGAAAATTCCAGAGTCGCGGAGTACATATAGCGTTGCTCTGGCCGCAGAGTCCGGGATCCGTGCGTCTGTCTGTCTATGTACCACCGTGGGTCCCCAGGCTGCCCGACATCCGCCTTAAGTTCCTCCTCCTCTTCTCCTTCTCCTTCTTCCTCTTCTCCCCTCTCTCACGTCATGCATCTTCTGTAGATCTTTCATTCATTCACTTCGGGTCATCCTATAAGTACTTACCTTCTCTCATTCATACAGCACCTGAATTCATTCATTTAAATTTTAGACATGGCACCATGGCGGAAACCTCTAAACATACCCCATCACATCACATCACAGATTTATTCCAGGAAGTCGGCGTCTCCCGTCCGTGAGTACGCAGGCTTACAGTACATGTACACCCGCAGCTAACGTTACGCCGTCTAAGACTACAATGACTCCTGTAGATTCTAGAAAATTCCAATTGTTATAGAATCCAGAGAATCCAGAGTCCGGGCGTCTATGTACCACCGTGGGTCCGGGCGCCTGCATCTATATCTATATCTACTTCCACTCACTATATCACCCCGACGCGCACTCAGGCTGGCGCGGCGATATGCGCACACCGGCCTAAGCGTCTAAGCACCACCGTGGGTCCAGGCTGGCTGACTGGCGTCTAGGAAGTATCCATATCTACATATTTCCACTTACTGTATCACCCCGACGGCGTTTACCGTACATATCACCGTGGGCAGTGCGCAGCCTCCGGCACCCCGCTACCGCCGATATCGTATTAGCTGCCAGTGCCACTGAGCGGTTCTACTTCTACGAATTCGAAGTTCGAATTCGAACCCTTCCTTTCGAGTCGTCTGTCACGCGGGCTCGGCTTTAAAGTTTAATCCGCCTGTCTATTTATTATATTACATGGACCTCGCCACTGAACGAAAGAATGCATCGAGCAAGTCGTAGTGGTGTATCGCGACGCCGCGTACCCTGTACTTCCAGGCGAGTTGCCACAGATTGACACTGAATGAAATACCCTGTGGGAGGCTCAGTCGGGTTCCCATTCATCCCCAGCTTCCAAAAACTAACGCACCCATCGCACCGTCCTCAGTTCTGAAATCGAAATCGAACGAGTCTGTCACGGTGGAAGAGGCACGATACTATAATTTTTTTGTCGTTGGAAATTGACTGGGAGTGCTCCACAACTTACAAGTGAAGCTTCACAACCGAAGGATGGCCGCGCCATCTTGGTTTGCCTATGAAAGCCGCTGAGCCGACATCAGTCTGATTCTCCCGGTTCGACGCCAGTACCACGTCGCTGGAAATGTACATGGACAAGATATGGAAAAATACCGCCCCGGGTTCGATCTCCCACGCCTTGTCGCGTTTTCATTAATATTCACGCGCTGCGCGTTAATGCTCGCTTAGCGCTTATTCCGGGATCTATCCCTGGCGGCGCCTATCGCCGTGGGTGTCAGTGCGCAGCGTGAGTAATACATGTCATGTCCTCCAGAGTCCGGGTACCTGGCGTCTACCAGTGCCACGGTGGGCCCTGGCGTTGATCTGCCGGCAACGTCAAGCGCGAGAGGCGACGGGGTTTAGTTTTTCACGGTGGGTTGTACTACCAACCGCGATATCTTTTCCCAATCAAAATTAAAACGAATTTTGGCCTGGGCTCGATTCTCAGTATGAAAGCTCCGTTTGAAAGAGGCTGAAGGAGTCGGACGTGGTGTATGGTGCACACCCGCTTTTCGTATCAGGTCGCACATGAAAAGAGTTAAAGCGGGAGGCTTGGGTTCGACTCCCAGCGTCCAAATAGCAATGGTGAAAGTAATTTTTTCCGTCCATTGTGTACTTAATAAGTTCCGGTTCCATCTGAGTTGGATCCAATCCGTTGATATAGGGACGCCATCGACGGAATTGCAGAACCCAGTCACATTCGCCTCGGCCTACCTCCCCGAACTCGAGTTACACGTAACGCAGATGGGCCGTGATATTGTACGGTGCACCCCCATGGCTCTTCAACTGAGCAGAAGGAGGAAGAAAGAGTGTGGAAGAGGACGCCTGAGTTCAATCCTATACGCCACCGCAACTCTACGTCGGAGCCATCTTTTTCTCAGTCAGGATCAGCGTGATTCTCACGGTTCAAGCATATTTGATCTCATCCCTCGGCCCGAGTCGGGATGGCCCATGTCAGGGCTCACCGTCGCAGATCCGTTTCATTTTCATTCACGAGCTCATTGATGGTCGCTTAGTGCTTATTATCAGCTAATTCCGGAATCTATCCCTGACGGTGGGCTCCGGCTGGGTGTCAGTGCGCAGCGTGAGTAAGTATATCGTATTCTCCAGAGTCCAGAGTCCGGATGCCTGGCGTCTACCTTACCACGGTGGGCCCTGGCGTTTATCTGCCGGAAACGTCAAGCGCGAGAGGCGACGGGGTTTAGTTTTTCACGGTGGGTTGTACTACCAACCGCGATATCTTTTCCCAATCAAAATTAAAACGAATTTTGGCCTGGGCTCGATTCTCAGTATGAAAGCTCCGTTTGAAAGAGGCTGAGGGAGTTGGACGTGGTGTAAGGCGCACACCCGCGGATCGTAATAGACTTGTCAGCCGTCTCTACCGGGAAGCCTGGGTTCGATTCCCAGCGTCCGAATATCTATCCCAAACTTTTTTCCGCTTTTTTCTGAAAGCGCGCCTTGAATTTATGTATATCCAATCGATGTTCAATGATTCATGTTTCACAGGCAATGCATTTTCCAACTTCAAATTTTATTTCTTTTGAGTCCCGTACTCAAAATGTTACAACCTACCCCAGGTCAAATACAATCGGACGTGGTGTATGTGCGGCGCCAACCCGCGGTTTTAACGGAAGAAATAGGATGAAGACCCAGGTTCGATTCCCAGCGTCCGAATACGCATTGAACCGCAACTCTTCAACGTCGGAGTTGGACTAGCCATCTTTTTTTTTGGTCTCAGTTCCATCGAAATCGAAATCGAACGAGTCCGTGCCAGTGGAAGAGGCACAATAGTGTAATCCCTTTTTGTCGTTGGAACTTGGAGTGCGTCAGAAACCTCACAACCGAAGGATGGTTGCGCTAGCTATGGTTTGCCGAGAATAGCCGAGGTCAGTCTGATTCTCACGGTTCGATGCCGCAACGCACTCTCGTCCACGTCGCTGGAAATGTACATGGATAGGATATGGAAAAATACCGCCCCGGGTTCGATTTCCCACGCCTTGTCGCATTTTCATTAATATTCACGCGCTGCGCGTTAATGCTCGCTTAGCGCTTATTCCGGGATCTATCCCTGGCGGCGTCTATCGCCGTGGGTGTCAGTGCGCAGCGTGAGTAGATCATGTCATGTCCTCCAGAGTCCGGGTACCTGGCGTCTACCAGTGCCACGGTGGGCCCTGGCGTTAATCTGCGCGAGAAGCGACGGCGTTTACCTTATCACTCTGGGTAGTGATACCAACTGCAATATCTTTTTCCAATGACTTGGGATTGGGCCTCTTCGAGGCAGGTGCTGAACCTTTAGAATGGGATACAGAGACGAGATGTGGCCCCCAGTTCAATTTCCTCCCTGTTGATGTTCAGGGCCTGGCCTGAAGCCTACTAGGCCGAGCCTGCTCAGGTCAGGCCCTCCCCCACAGCTTGGGCAGGCTCAGCGGAAATTATGGTTCAACCTGTTGAATATGGATGAGGTAGAGTTTCGGAGCATATCTATGGTTTGAATTACATTCATGAGATTCTCCCATACCTCAGAACTGAACCAAGACTCTTTCTAAAAGAAAATACCCTAAGCCCAGGCTCAGGCTCAGACTACTACAAGATATGCCTTTGCTCCGCTCCGGCACATGAATATTAATATTATCAAACCAAAATCTCGTGGTAAGTTACATTAGTAGTAGTTAATTCTCCGGGTCGTAAGAGCACTCTGGCATGGTCACGATGGCAAATATGTGATAGAGCAGTGTATAATTGTCCATGGGAGAACAAGTAATTAGCTAAAGTCATTCTTGACCACTGTGGTCTTGCAGAGTCTGCTTCGGATTTGAGAATGAGAGAAACTTCTGAACAGAGACGGATCAAAAGCTCATGTTGCAGTCTCACAGAGTGCTCACACCCTTTTGCTTTTCATTGGAGTCTGGCAGTCATGTTATAGTAGGAATATTTTTTCATGATACACAATGCATAACTAGAAATTGGATGAAATGTTCTTCTTCCAAGCCAAGGGTTCTTCAGAACAGGCCTGACTCCTCTGGAAATTACCGATCAGGCCATATGTAAAGGCCCCCGGAAATCCAATTTTCAAAGTTGTGTGTGAAATAATAAAACATGCCAGGGGACATTTCCAGAGGATTGTACAACTCCTCATTCCAGTTTGCTACCCTTGATTCTGCTTGGAGGTCTATCAAGAACATAAATTGGCCATCAGAGATGCCTGGGATAGGCAAAAAGTGTTGCAAACATTACATGTACCAGGTTTGCCATGAAATTTTTAAAAATTGCAGGTGCTCCAATCAAGTACATTATCCCGATTATATAGAAGTTTTAAAAGAGTAATATACCACCATCAGTGTCAGCCTAAGGGGCTTGATGCACCTCAGAAACACGTCCCTGAGCATACCTCTTTGCGGCACGTGGTCGTGCCACCGCGGTGTCCCCGGCCGTGACAAGCTGGATCAGGAACTGGCCCGAACATAAAGCAGAAATGACTGATAACAGATAATTGAACTTGAGTAATTTCTTCGGTCTCAGTGGATGAAATGTGCTCGTACACAAGAAATCAAGTGGATATTGAGTTGGAAAACACATCTTGGCACTATGATTTATCTCTATATCTTGCCCAATTTTCTCTGGATTTTATTTCTGCGATGACCAATGATCTGTGACTAAATCTTTGTTTGTACATATAGCAAAACGGGCCTAAATCCAAGTTCCCCAGGGTAGCCAAACCTAAAGGTTCAGCAATTACATGTAAAACAAAATTTGCCCTGGGTTCGATTTCTCAGCTTGAAGGCTCGCCTACCTGGCCCCGTTGAAAATAGACTGAGGGAATCGGACGTGGTGGCGCACACCCGCTTTTCGTAGGTCATATGTAAAAGGAACAAGAAAAAATTAAAGCGGGAGGCCTGGGTTCGATTCCCAGCGTCCGAATACATATCTGTCCCAAGCTTTTTTCCGCTTTTTTCTGAAAGAGCGCCTCGCATTTATGTATATCCAATCGATGTTCAATGATTCATGTTTCACAGGCAATGCATTTTCTAACTTCAAATTTTATTTCTTTTGAGTCCCGTACTCAAAATGTTACAACCTACCCCAGGTCAAATACAATCGGACGTGGTATCTGTGCGCCCCCCACCCGCGGCATTTAACGGAAGAAATAGGATGACGACTCAGGTTCGATTCCCAGCGTCCGAATACGCATTAAACCGCAACTCTTCAACGTCGGAGTTGGACTAGCCATCTTTTTCTTTGGTCTCAGTTCCATCGAAATCGAAATCGAACGAGTCCGTTCCAGTGGAGGAGGTACGTCGTATAATCCCTTTTTGTCGTTGGAAATTGACTGGGGGTGCTTCAGAAACCTCACAACCGAAGGATGGCTGCGCTAGCTATGATGATGATGAAATCCATTAGCGTGCTCGAGTCGCTGCAAGCAACTATGGTACACGGTATCTATCTACTAACTAATGACCCAGGTGCCGAGTAGGGCTTCAGACTGGATGTATCCTGGGTCACGGACGGCGCGGAAGAGCGGGCAGGGCGTGGGAGGGTACTGTGGTGCGGAAGCGGGGAACTGCGGGCGACGGGGATGCGGAGACAGGTCTCGGACGTGCGAGGTAGCGGAGCCGGTGCTCGAACGCTCGGTGTATCGGAGCTGGGCTCGTACGCACGAGAAGCGGAGCAGGGCGCGCTAGCTATGGTTTGCCGAGAACAGCCGAGGTCAGTCTGATTCTCACGGTTCGATGCCGGTACCACGCTCTACTCCACTCGATGGAAATGTACATGCATTAGAGCATATTTGCAAGACCCTCAACGCAGTTTTAGGGCAAATTTTGATGAGGCCTGTCAGAAATTTGATGACACCAAAATAGGATACCTTCGACTTGTAAAGTCTGGCAAAAAGGCGCAAAAAAATGCTGGATAACCCGGTTTTTTTGTATGGATGCGCCACAATGGTCTCGAAGGTACTGGACACTTTCAGGAGAGAAAGTATACCGCGAAAATTGGTTTTGGCGGCTGGGAAGGACGGTTACGACACATCCATCATTTCTCTATCCTAGAAATGATGGTTGATGCCAGAAATTTGGCCGTCGATTTTGGGGGGTGCAAATACGCTCTATTGGATATGGAAAAATACCGCCCAGAGTCCGAGTTCGATTTCTCACGCCTTGTCGCCTTTTCATTAATATTCACGCACTGCGCATTAATGGTCGCTTAGCGCTTGTTATCAGCTAATTCCGGGATCTATCCCTGGCGGGCGTCTATCGCCGCGGGTGTCATAGTCTCGGACCATCCTCTCCCGACATCCCAATAGGACCCCTGATAGTCCCAACAAATGCCTGTTCCCACGGAGGCCCATTTGTCGGGACGGAAGTTGGCTGATCTGGGCCAAATTTGTCGGGATTGGCACAGGCCTAGACCCCAAAATCGGACCAAATTGTCGGAATTCCCAAATTTTCGCCCCAGATCGGCCCCACATGGTTAATTTTTGAAATTTTTTTCCGGCCGCGGCGCGTTTTTGTCGGAATCTGACACAGGCCTGCACCCGATTTTGGGCCAATTTGTCGGGATTTGACACAGGGGTAACGCGAAAATTCCTCCAAATTTGTCGGGATTGGGATCAGGCATTTGGCGGGATAATCAGGGGTCCTATCCCAATATGGGAACCCTGTCGTGAGAGTCTGGGCCAAAGTCGGCTAAATAACCGTACCATTGCGCTATCAAAAATCCGGTGTTTTCCGGCATTTCCCGTATCTGTTACTTTGGCCTTTACAGAAGGTTGTACTTCAAAATTTGGAGGCAAAGTCATTTGTTCTTATCCTATGACATGTTCTACTTGTTAAGACCTGTACTATACCTTGTGAACAAGTCGAAATAGACGCGATACAGTCTTCTAAGTAACCGGCGGCACTGCCACACTCCGCCTCCACCCAAATTTTAGGAGTCGCCTCACCTCTGCTGAGTCAACTTCCAGATATTCTGAGGATGCAGAAGGCATTGATTTATTCCATTCAGCAACTTCCTCTCTCAAGTGTAGCCAAAAACACCTGCAGAGTGGTCGAACGAGCACTCAAAAATCAGAGAATTGATAGGGCAATGGTACGGTTATTTAGCCGACTTTGGCCCAGACTCTCACGACAGGGTTCCCATATTGGGATGTCGGGAGAGGATGGTCACGGTCCGAGACTGCGGGTGTCAGTGCGCAGCGTGAGTAAGTATATTGTATTCTCCGGAGTCCAGAGTCCGGGTGCCTGGCGTCTACCTTACCACCGTGGGTCCTGGCGTTTATCTGCCGGCAACGTCAAGCGCGAGAGGCGACGGGGTTTAGTTTTTCACGGTGGGTTGTACTACCAACCGCGATATCTTTTCCCAATCAAAATTAAAACGAATTTTGGCCTGGGCTCGATTCTCAGCGAAGGGTCGCCTACTTTCCTCCGTTCAAAATAGGCTGAGGGAGTCGGACGTGGTGTATGGCGCACACCCGCTTTTCGTGGGTCGCAGATGTCATGAAGCGGGAGGCCTGGGTTCGATTCCCAGCGTCCGAATAAAAGGTAACCATATGACCCTTTTTTCTCAATGCGCGCCTCGGAATTATGTATATCCAATCGATGTTGATTCATCGTTCGTAGGCAAGGCGTCAAACAACTGCTTTTCAACTTCAAGATCTCATACATGACACTGGTACCTCATCAAAATCGTCTACCTATCTCACTTTGTAATGTATATTCTGAATCGGACGTGGTCTATGCGACATATCGCGCAGCAGCTCTATATATGTACCTTCTGGCAGCGGGAAGCTGGGTTCGACTCCCAGCGTCCGAACTGGACAAGATGGGGTAAAGCTTTTTTTGTTCATAGACGACTTGACATCCTGATACTTGAATTCTTAAAGAACTATAAAAGTTTTTATTTTCGTTGGAAATGGAGTGCTTCAGAAGCCTAGATGCGCTATGTACACCGTATACTCGTAATTTGCAACCTGAGCCGAGATCAGCTTAATTCTCACGGTTCGATGCCACACTCCAGTTCATTATTTGATTTACATGGATATGAAAAAATAAAGTCTTACGAAAACCTCCACGTAGCGATGCTCTGACATTGGCCTTCAAAATTAGAGCCAGGCCAAAAGGCCTGACAAGCGAAAGGCTGGCTTTAGCTCGAAAACCGACAGGTCATGCATGACCTTATGGCAGTATCTGACACGCATTTTTGGTTTGGGCCTGGCGAAATCTCAGGCCGGCCGAGCCAAACATAGCTTTTTTGGCTTGAGGCCAAAGCCAGAACATCACTACCTCCACGCACCCGAGGTGCAGGCCATAATCAAACTGGGTGTGCACATATGTACGGCAAGCATGTTGAATATCGTCCCCTCGGCCCGATTTCGAGTTCGCCTTCCCACGGACGACGTCGCGGCCGCGGATCGCCCATCTCATGAAGCATCGTCGGAGATTCTCTTTCATTCAGGCGCTCATTAATGGTCGCTTATTATCAGCGAATTCCGGGATCTATTCCTGGCGGTGGGCATCCTGAGGGAGTCGGACGTGGTGTAAGGTGCACCCCCGCGGATCGTAAGAGGCCTGACCGATATCTCTAGCGGGAAGCATGGGTTCGATCCCCAGCGTCCGGATACGAAGTTCGTCGTCCGAGCTATTTTTTACAGACGCCATCTCAGAACGAGTCAGAAGAGGAGGATACTGCATAAAACCTTTTTTTCGTTAGAAATTGAGTGCTTCAGAAGCCCAGCTATGGATGATGATCCAACCGAGGGACGCGGTGTGTGGTTGCGCTACGCTTTGCCGAGAACAGCGGATGAGCCGAGATTACCTCAATTCTCACGGTTCGATGCCAGTGCCGCACCGCACTCCATGTCCAATTCACTCGTAATTATGCTGGAAATGTACATGTACACGGATCCTACGGATATGGAAAAATACCGCCTCCAGCTCGATTCCTCACGGCCGAGATCGCCCGTGACATTTTTTTCATTCACGCGCTGCTCATTAATGGTCGCTTAGCGCTTATTCCGGGATCTATCCCTGGCGGCGTCTATAGCTATATGTCACCGTTCGAGCGTTTATCGGCGTGAGTGAATTATGTACTCCAGAGTCCAGGTTCCTGGCGTCAAACGTCTTCTCTTCCACCGTGGGGTCCTGGCGTAAATCTGCCGGCAACGTCAAGCGCGAGAGGCGACGGCGTTGGCTTATCACCGTGGGTACCAACCGGGTCCGCGATATCTTTTCCCAATTACTGTAACATTAGAACGAAAGCCTGGGCCCGCCTGCCTGCCCCCGTTTGAAATGTGCTGAGGTAGTCGGACGTGGTGTACGGTACACACCCGCTTTTCGTGGGTCGCAGATGTCATGAAGAGAAAAAATGAAAGCCTGGGACTCATAGCATCCGAATAAACGGAACTGCAAAACCCTCTTTTTCCTCTTCCGCCATCCCTCAACCTTCGAGCCCGTTCCTCTCGGTGCGTAACTTTAATTTATTCAATGGCCTCCGCTCTTCGAGTGAATATTAATTCAGGATAATTGAACTTGAGCGAGCCGACGTGAACCTGACTTATGGTGCTGTAAAGGGATAGAAACCGAAAGTCCGCGGGAGCTGGGTTCGACTCCAAGCATCTGAATAGGCCATTAAAGTGTTTACTACTTTTGTCTACCTCAGTCCATCCCTCGGCCTTCAACCCCGTTCTTCTTGGCGCGTAATTTAATTTATTTGGCCTCCGTCCTTGAGTATTAATATCCACGGACCATTGATTGAACTTGAGAGAGCCAACGTGAACTGACTCAACCAAAGTGAGTGGTTTCATTTCATCCTTGCCTTGAACTCACATAGCAGGGTTCATATGTGAGGGGAACTCGGACGTGGTGCACGGTGCACACCCACTCGCTAAGCTTGTCTTTCACCAAAGTAGTACTTATGTGGGAGGCCTGGGTTCGACTCCCAGTGTCCGATCAAAGGGCGAACAGAGTTTTGTTGCGCCTTTCCTTTTGACTTCAACATCGCAGTCCATCTTTGTTCGTCTTCTGCATATTTTTTTCCACTAGCTTGCTTCAACGAAGCACCAGAGTTGCGTGTAGCAGATGTAGGTGGGTCTTTGAACACTCATCTTGTGTATGTAGCCTTGGTTTTGGGCGTTGGGCGGCACGGTCGGTCTGCTACCACCCGCAGGAAACGCAGTGTAGCGGCAATGATCGAGATTGTACAATATGTTGCTCGTGGATTCCGAATCTCGCGTCGCCACTGTATGTCATCTGGGTCGCTTGCCCAATTTTGCACGAGCCTGGTTCAATTTCTTGGCCTTGTAATGCTACCCACCTAACTACCTACCTTGGCGAGTTCGCCGCATTTTTCCGAATTTAAACATGCCGAGCATAACCACTCGGCAGACACTACGCAATCATCCTGTTTTCGCCTTTAGCCATTAAACTCGAGCTCTATCTGATTCCAGTAGTCTCACTGCCAGCCGACGATGACGCCCAGCAAGGTGTGAAAGCCTCGAGCTCGTCCTGATCATGATGATTTGAGAAAAAAGTTAGATGGATTTATGCGTTATCTACGCTCCTGTTCCTACGACCGTTGTCAGAATCGCTTCTTCTGTATGGCAGTCAAAAATCATTTTATTATACATTTTTGACAGCTAAACGGAAACGACAGACGTTTTTGATTTTCGAGCACAGTTCGGCATGAGGTGTTGAACGCGTCACAACTCCACTTGCCGTCCACCGCCGTCCGCCGTCTTGAATATTATCCCTGCCTGTTTTGTCCCTGCTAAGTCTACGCAGTACTAGTTTATATGATTCATCTCTGCAGTGAATTACATTCTCCGGGAGAACAAAAAATGAACGGCAAATGACTCAGTGTGAGCTAAATTAGTGGCGCCTGCCGATGTCAGCCGAACTTTGCTTGAAAATTGAAAAACACCGTTTAGCTGGAACTCAAAGCGACCGTTCCGAGATCCACGTTGGTTGACAGGTCTGTGGTGTTGCTCCAATCGAGGACCGGTCTGATGCCGGTCAGACAACGAGAAGAGCAAGAGAATTCTGATGAATTAATACGATAGCTAGGTATTTTATACATGTAGCAGTACCGTATAATCTGCCCAGGAATAAATAGGAATACTAAGTAAGGAATAGTCGAATCATCGAAATGATTCGAAGTACTTAAGTCGAATAGCGAGTCAAAGGTAGGTAGGAATTATTTATGAATCATATCAGAGGTCATATAAACGAAGAAACCCTTGCCCTAATTTATTCGTGATGACCAGGTGAATATCTGAGACATTTAGACGGAAATGGGGAGGTGGCGGTGAAGGGTCGCGCCGGTCGGAAATACCCGGGAGGACATGCGCCCGGGCCGCTAGTCAAAGTTAGACCACCGCTCTCGTCTCCGTACCAACACCATGTCTGGAATCGAGCGCCTCAGTCTACGACTACAGCCCCGAGGCGGTTACCCGCTACCTGCGCACCCAGCAGCGCATCGCCCGCTGGACAGCCGATACCGGCGCAGTTCCCCAGGTCGATCCCTACGCCCCGCCTACCCCCGCCGCCTCGGCGGCTGCCCCGCTCCCGAAGGATAGGCGGCGCACGCGGTCCTCGGATAGAGATAGAGATAGAGACGGCGGCGGACGCCGGCACCGCTCCCCGCCCCCGCCACTCCCCACCGCCTCGCAGCGACCGACCCCGACCCGCTCGCACACCGCCCCCCCGCGCGGCGACGTCTACGGCGTCCAGCCCGCCGGCCGCTTACCCCCCGCCGCTCACCGGCCCGATGCCCATCCCAGGCAACAACAAGCCCTACTACCCAGCCCCGCCCGCCGGGTACTACCTCCCCCCGCAACCGCAGGCGCCCCCGCACCGCCGCTCGCGCTCCTCCTCCCAAGCCCCGCCCCCGTCGTCCGCCCAGCAGTCCCACTCGCACTCGCACTCGCGCTCGCGGAGCTATGCGCCCGCCCCGCTCAAACTCGTACGCGTACGGCGCCGCGCCCGGGTACGCGGCGTACCCTCCGCGCAGAATCTGCCGCCGCTGCCGCCGGGGTACACGTACGCGTATCCCGCGCCGCCGCAGCCGGCGCGGAGTCCTACAAAGGAGGTGCCGTTGCTGAAGCGCGTGTTTGGGTTTGGTGGGGGGTCGGGTGGGGGTGGGAGTGGGAGGCGGACGCCGAAGAGGGGGGATACGTATTGAGGCGCGGGCGGAGCACGCGGTTTGCGGTACGCCCGCCTATCTCTTCTTCCTTGCGCCACACCTTTGCTTCCTCCGCTGCCTGCGCCACCCAACCAACATAACCTCCTATAATTCCGCCACAACCCTACACTCCACCCATACACCTAAAATCCCCCATACACATCCCCCCACATACATCCACCCACCGCACGGCGCCACCTCTCCATCATCATGTACCGACATTTGTCTCCTTGTATCCTATACAGTACAGTACATACATACATACGACTTTGAATTCTACGCATACGTTTTGTTTCCTTCTCTGCGTTTGCTTTGCGTCGCGTTTGCTTTGCCTCCGGTGGGCGTCGCTGTCGGAATTCGTGAGGGCCCTCCCTCCTTCAACGCGTGGTTCATTCCTGTTAGTTTAGCACCTCGCTCTCCGCATATTTTTCTCCGCTAGCTTGATTCAACGAAGCACCAGTGGTACGTAGGTGGGTCGTTTTGTTGCATCCTTGAACACTCATCTCGTGTATGCAGGTTGGGTTTTGAGATGGGGCGGGGCCTTGGACGTGGTGCATGGTGCACACCCGCTCGCCCCGCCATCGCAGTCCATCCCTCAACCTTCAATCCCGTTCTTCCTGGCGTGTAATTAAATATATTTGGCCTCCGTTCTTTGAATATTAGTGCATGTTGATTGAACTTGAGCGAGCCGACTCGACCGAAAATGATCTGCTCCATTTCATCCTTGCCTTGAACCTACCATAGCAGGGTTCGTATGCAGAAGAGGAACTCGGATGTGGTGCACGGTGCACGCCCGCACACAATAGTTCCCAGCTGTGTTTCTTTATATGTATGCGGGAGTCCTGGGTTCGACTCCCAGCGTCCGAATAGTCTGAACTTCGTATTCTCTCTTTTTTCTTTTCCCTCTTCCACCCTCAACCCCGGTCTGCGCTGTGCATAATCTTAAGTTATCTGGCCTCCGCTCTTCGAGTATGAATAACATGATCATTAAATGAACCGGAGCGAGCCGACTTGAACTTGACTCAACCAAAGTGATTGGCTTCATCTTATCCTTGCTTTGAATCTCACATGGTCGTATGTGAGGGAACTCGAATGTGGTGCACGGTGCACACCCGCCCATAATGATGATACTGTGCCAGCAATGTATATGTAATGCGGGAGGCCTGGGTTCGACTCCTAGTGTCCGAATTATCCTATTGAATCACACCTTTTTGTTCGCCTTGGCATTGCAGTCCATCCCTCAACCTTCACCCCCGTTCTTCTCGGTTTGTTATTTGGCCTCCGTTCTTTGGATATTGGTGCATATTGATTGAACTTAGCGAGCCGATGTGACCTTGACCAAACCAAATTGATTTGATTTCATCCTTGCCTTGGAACAATCACAGCAGAGTGAGTAAATGTGAGGGGAACTTGGATGTGATGCACGGTGCACACCCGCCGATACTGTGGTAGAAATGTTGATGTAATGCGGTGAGGTCTGGGTTCGACTCCCAGCGTCCGAATAGCTTGTTGGATTATACCATTTTTTCTGCCTCGATATCGCAGTCCCTCCCTCGACCTTCAACCCCGTTCTCGGTGCGTAATTTCAAGTTATTCAATGGCCTCCGCTTTTTGAGCGAGTATTAATGCAGGATGATTTATTGAACTTGAGCGAGCCTGCCGACGTGAACTTGACTCAACCAGAGTGATTGGCTTCATTTCATGATTTTGGCTTGAGCCTACTATTATGTAAAGCAAGGGTCGTATGTAGGAAGGGAACTCGGATGTGGTGCATGGTGCACACCCGCCCGTGATACAATGTTATCAAGGTTGCAATGCGGAGAGGTCTGGGTTCGACTCCCAGAGTCCGAATAGTTCAAGCTGGTTTTCTCTCTTTTTTCCTCTCCCTCTTTCTCCATCCCTCAACCTTCAACCCCGATCCGCGCGGTGCCAGTGCGTAATTTACTTTATCCGGCCTCCGCTCTTCGAGTGAGTATTAATTCGATAATTGAACTTGAGCGAGCCGACGTGAACTTGACTCCACCGAAAGTGATTGGCTTGATTTAATTCTTGTCTTGAACCTAGGGTTCGTATACATGAGGGGAACTCTGATGTGGTCACGGTGCACACCCGCCCATAATATGAAATTATTGCAGCGAATATGTAATGCGGTGAGGTCTGGGTTCGACTCCCAGCGTCCGAATAGCTTGTTGGTTGTAACATTTTTTCTGCCTCGCCATCACAGTCCATCCCTCAACCTTCAACCCCGTTCTTCTCGAAGCGAAATTTCATTTATCCAATGGCCTCCGCTCATTGAGTATCAATTCATGATCGTTGATTGAACTTGAGCGAGCAGACGTGAACTTGACTCAACCAAAGTGATCAGCTTGATTTCATCCTTGCCTTGAATCTATTATAGCAGGGTTCGTATATGCGAGAGGGACTCGGATGTTGTGCACGGCGCACACCCGCTCACTTTGAGTAGAGCTGCGGCATCAATACATGCGGAGAGATCTGGGTTCGACTCCCAGCATCCGAATGATGAGACGGTTGCCATTTTTTTTTCACCTCAGTCCGTCCCTCGGCTTCAATATTCATCCCCCGATCTTCTCGGTGCCACTGGTTCTCCCCCATTTCTTTCTCAGTTGCTTTGACACGACAAAGCACCAGTGATGCTGGAGGCGAGTCTTGTTTTCACCCTTAGACAGCGCGAGCAGAATCTCACCCTCAAGCCTATGTAGTATGAACCCAATTAGTAGGGTTCGTATGTATGAGGGGAACTCGGACGTGGTGCACGGTGAACACCCGCCCGTAATATAATGTTGTTTGTAACGCGGGATGCCTGGGTTCGACTCCCAGCATCCGAATAAAGCTGCAGGCATCTCTTTTTCCACCTGAGTCCATACCTCGGCCTTCAACCCCGTTCTTCTCGGTGCGTCATTTGAAATTTTTAGCATCCACTCTTGGAGTGTTAATACTCACGGATCATTCAATGAACTTGAGCAAGCCGACGTGAACTTGACTCAACTGAAAGTGATTGGCTTCATTTAATCCTTGCCTTGAGCCTAGGGTTCGTATATGCGAGGGGAACTCGGATGTGGTGCACGGTGCACACCCGCCCAGACTGTGGTATATGTCAACGAACAAAGTCAGCAGAGAGCTGCCAGGGTTCGATTCCCAGCGTCCGAACGAACCGAAGATCAAAGCCATCTTTTTCCTCTTCCTCTTCCTCTATCCATCAACCTTCAACCATCTGCACAGCGCGTAATTTATTTCTCCGCTTTTTGAGTGACTATTATGAACTTGCGCGAGCTGACTCAACCAAAGTGATTGGCTTGAGTTCATCCTTGCCTTAAACCTCACATTGCAGGGTTCCTATACGTGAGGGGAACTCGGATGTGGTGCACGGTGCATACCCACCCGTAATACAATGTTATCAAGGTTGTAATGCGGAGAGGTCTGGGTTCGACTCCCAGCGTCCGAATACTCCGAACTGGTATTTCCTTTTTTTTCTTTTCCTCTTCCTCCCTCAACCTTCAACCTCGATCTGCGCAGTGCACAATTTATTTTATCCGGCCTCCACTCTCTGAGCCTCAATTCATGATCATTGGATGAACCTGAGCAAGCTGATGTGAACTTGACTCAACCAAAGTGATTGTCTTAATTTCATCCTTGCCTTGAACCTAGTACAGCAGGGTTCATATGTAGGAGAGAAACTCAGATGTGGTGCATGGTGCACACCCGCTCATGGTGCTGTAAAAGGACACGAACCGAAAGTCAGCGGGAGAACTGGGTTCGACTCCCAGCGTCCGAATAGTCTGAACTGAGTATTCTCTCTTTTTTCTTCTTTTTTTTCCCCCCTTCCACCCTCAACCTTCAACCCGAGTCTGCGCGGTGCGTAATTTAATTTATTTGGCCTCCGCTCTTTGCGTATTGGTGCATTTTGATTGAACTTAGCGAGCCGATGTGACCTTGACCAAACCAAATTGATTTGATTTCATGAGAGTGACATTTTTGGCTTGCAAAAGTGGCTTGCGCCCGCGCGGAATGGCTTGTTTCGGGCGGGGGCGTGGATTTGGGTGGCATCACCCGCCCACGCCCGGCCGATCGGCTTGCAAGCCATTTTGATGGCTTGGCAAGCCATTCCGCCAACTTGGTTCCAGCCAAAAATCAGAAGTGGCTTGCACTCCCAACACACCCTAGGGGCCTCTAGTGACATATCTTATATGGTAGATACATTACATTGGAGTCCCCGAAGCTCCCCACGACATCAATTCTCCTGTACTGTCTATATTTCGGTAATACCCGTGACCGACGCGACTAATAATGGACTCAACTGACGCTCTGCTTGCAAGCCAGTGGGCTTGTGGAGTCAAATCAATAGCTGATGCCTCTTAGTGCACATTGAGATGACTATCCCAAATACACTGACATTCACCACACGAGTACCTAACTTACATGTTTTCTCGCACACAGAATAGTTTCTGGGTGTCATACAGAAGTTGGCCGCCTCTCCTCACATAATGAAGTTCTTATACTTCCACCCACACTGAATAATCGGCATAGAGCATATTCACGTGCTCACTGCTGTTGGTTGACTTCAGTTCAACCTCCCAATGTCAAGCAGATCGAAGAAGATGTTGAATAAGTCCAACCTGTTCAAATAAATGATTTCTGTAGGCCTATTCAAGTATTTCAGGGTCGAATCATGTGGAGAAACCACAAGGGAAGTGTCTGTGCTCGTCGCGAACAAAATGGCGGGCGCAAGTCGTTTTGTCTGATGCCATCAAATTGGGCGTGGGCATGGCTTGTATCGAAAAGTATAGAAATTCGCACAATAAGAAGGTCAGATTCACACACCATATGTCGTATTCATGCTCTCCTATCATTTTTGCGGGTATTTATCTTCAAATTACCTCGAGAGTCGAGTTGGACGGAGTTGAACGTGTCACGTGGTGTGCGCAAGCCATTTTGTCTGATGCCATCAATTGGGCGGGGAATGTGGCTTGCATCGGAAATTGTGGCACGGGAGAGAGGAAATGGATCGGAGGGCCTCTGGAACAGTTCTATCCCTTTGGATGCTGGGTTAAGGATTGATCAACAACTCTAATTGCTGCGCTAGGCAACATCCCAGATTGTGGATGTGTTCTTTTCTACCTTCACAGCTCGTACCCTTGACTTCTTTATAGTTTATTAAGTTCCCTGTTACCCGACATTGCCTAGTTTCTTATCTTTTGCAGAGTATAAATATGATACCTATGTATTGTACTAAATAGATTGTCCGAGCTTACCAATTCAAGTTCCCCCAACCTCCCTTGTTCAATATAGACGTTGATATCAATATTGGTCGAGTTGACGGACTTGTAATTTAGTTCATCAGACGGCTGGCATTCAACAGAGGCCATTGATATTTGTGGTAGGTTGATTAATTTCCCTCAGACATTCTGAGGCTGCGAGTTCTGCTGAGCAAGCCCAAGAGTCAGCAAAATGGAGAAAGAACTTGCAAAAGAGTGTTTTCATGGTATTGTAAGGGATACGTAACGACTGGTGCAACATTTCACCAACCACCAGGTTGCTAGTTCAAAAGTCGCCGGCGCTGTCAATGACGGCGGCGAGGTTGATCCGGATGTTGTGGAGACGACAATAATGAAAGGACAGGCTCGCGGGGTTGAGAAATTATCGAAATATTTACAGTGGGGAGGTTTAGTGTAGCCGAGCACAAGCCAAGCCACGCCGCAAGCCACGCCACACCCGCCCGCCCCAGCCAATTTAAACTCCGCTGAGCGGCGCAAGCCATTTTGGCACGCCACTCGGCTAACTCTGCACACCCGCCGATACTGTGGTAGAAATGTTGATGTAATGCGGTGAGGTCTGGGTTCGACTCCCAGCGTCCGAATAGCTTGTTGGATTGTACGATTTTTTCTGCCTCGATATCGCAGTCCCTCCCTCAACCTTCAACCCCGTTCTCGGTGCATAATTTTAATTCATCCAATGGCCTCCGCTTTTTGAGCGAGTATTAATGCAGGATGATTTATTGAACTTGAGCGAGCCTGCCGACGTGAACTTGACTCAACTGGAAGTGAGCGGCTTGATTTCATCCTTGCCTTGAACCTATTACAGCAGGGTCCGTATATGTGAGGGGAGCTCGGACGTGGTGCATGGTGCACACCCGCCCACAGTGGTGTGTCGACCTACAAGTCAGCAGGAGGGCTGGGTTCGACTCCCAGCGTCCGATTAGGGCGAGCAGGATTTTGATGCGCCTTTCCTTTTGACTTCGCCATCGCCGTCCATCTTTGTTCGTCTTCTGCATATTTTTTTCAATTAGCTTCATTTACTGAAGCACCAGCGTTATGTGTAGCGGCTGTCTTTTGAAAACTCACCTTGTGTATGTAGCCTGGGTTTGGGGCGTTGCATGGTCTGCTTCCGCCCGCCGGGAAAGCAGTATAGCGGGAATGATCGAAATTATACAATATGCTGCTCGTGAATTTCGTGTCTCCTGTCGCCACTTATAGGTTCTGCATCAGCCGGGTCGCTCGCCCAATCTTGCACGAGCCTGGTTCAATTTCTTGGCGAGTTCAACGGATTTTCCGAATTTAAACATGCCGAGCACAGCCACTCGGCAGACCCTATCCTGTTTTCGCCTTTTGCTAAATCGACCTAACTCGAGTCCTTATACGGGTCGGCCAGGGCGGCAAAATATTCCATGTGAAATTTGCTTCCAGTAATCTCACTGCAAGCCGACGATGACGCCTCCGAGGCGAGTCGAATACACCGGAAGTAACCAGCAAGGTGTGAAAGCCTCGAGCTCGTCCTGATGATTTGAGAAAAAAGGTAGATGGATTCATGCTTTATCTACGCTCCTGTTCCTACGACCCTTGTCAGAATCGCTTCTTCTGTATGGCGGTCAAAAATCATTTTATTATACATTTTTGAACTCAAAGCGACCGTTCCGCCGGGATCCACTTTGTTTGACAGGTTATGATGCGCCGGGGCCGCTAATCAAAGTAGGATCACTGCCTTCTTGTCTTCGTACCAACACCATGTCTCGAATCGAGCGCCTCAGTCTCGACCTCCTTGTCGAAATAATGCTCAGGGCATCGAGCATCAATGATAAATTTGCTCTTGCCCAAGTTTCAAAGCTCTGGCGAGCCGTCGCCCTCGACACTCCCCTCCTATGGTCTTCGGTCATCGGCGGTGACTCCAAGACAAATCGATATCGTCTTCCGCTCATATTACAGCGCAGCGGCTCAACTACCATGCTGCACATCTGTTTCAAATTCTTTCGGTGGGATCATTGGCTCGAGGACGCGTTGAACGCGCTGGTGCCCTATGCTGCGCGCATCGAAACACTGGACCTGAGATTTTCGGTCACCGTGTCCTTCACACCTCCTTTCCTCCAATATACAGTTTCCCGCTCTCCGAACCCTTCGTCTAAAACTCGATTTTCAGCTATGCTTCATCTTTGGCCCTCTCAGCACCTCGGCTGCGGACCTTCGACATCCGGCGTTTGAAAATAGCACAGTTGGAGAGACTACTGGTGCCCAGCCTCGATGACATCCGGCTCTCCGAAGCCTGGGAGGGCGTTGGAAGGCTGTCGGACATAGCTGCGTATTGTCCACTGGTGTGGCGTGTCGTGCTTCAAAGTCGCTATCGCGTGGCGGAACCCGACTTCCAAGTTCTTGCGCGGAAGCCAATGGCCCCCGCTCTGCGCGAATTGGAACTACGGCTGCGTGAAGAGGAGGATTTGGGCCGTGTCCTTCAGATTGGATTCTCCGACGTCGTCTTAGACACGTTAACGGCTGCCACATAAAGCGGAAACGTGGACATCCTCGCCAGAAGCTTATTGCGCGGTGTTGGGCCGCTGACTGTCTTCGAATGCATACATGCTCGGGAGACCGAAGTTCGGGACGACAGCGGGCACCGCCGCTTTCAATCCTGGGACGACGCTTTCCATCGCCGTGGCTTCCGGCTGCAGGACGTGTGGGAACAATTGTCGCTCCATTACAACCTACACAAAACCGTGCGTACCATACGAATAACTCCCTGCTGTTGCATGATTGCATCGTAGCTTTCGAGTTGTACCCGCCCCATGTGGAACACGGGATCGCGCTTTCCATCGGATTAGGCTTGGGATCGTTTGAGGAGGAATGCCAGACCTCCGGAATAATGCTGATACCCGGCCTGACCAAAGTCGAATTTTTTGGCAGTTACTCACAGCCCAACCAATTCCTGGATCTCCTCGACCACATCGAGCCCCCGACGACACAAAAGGTACCAGTCTGCGTAGGCAGTCTACAGTCGAGGATGGTGCAAGATTCGGACGCCCGCTTTGTCTTGCAGACGGCATTGGCTGAACGGCAAGGGAACAATTGGATAATTTGCGGTCATTGTACTTATCCGTCGCGCCTAACAGTCTTTCGATTGCCAACAAGTATCTCTAGGTTTGGAAATTCGAAACTTCGCACCTCCAAAGTATAGGCACCGAATTCTGGACGATTAGCCCGCCAAGCTCCAGGACGCATTTCTTTGCGTTGATATCACGTTTAATAATTTGCCCTCTATCCTTCCTTCTGCGCTATGCGCTCTGCTTCTTGGGAGGAAGTACTAGCATTCCGAGTCAACCTGAATGTGGTTCCAAAGATTTGATAGCTCGTACCCCTGGATAAGCTTACCATGTTTATCGTACGAATCGATCTCTCGTTAATACTTGAAGTTCACCTGACGAGATCCCCGGTCTCGCAATAACTGGGTCATCGATCGGGGAATTGTCGGCAACGATCCATCCCGCATCTAAATCCGCAATTGTCGGGGCGG